CTATTCTATTCTTTATTTCTGTTCTATTCTTATTTAGAATTATCTTATTCTATTCAGAATTATCTTTTTCTATTCTATTCTATTCTTTATTTCTATTCTATTCCATCCCATCCTGCCCTATCCTATTCTTATGATTCTTGACGAATGTATCTTGTCTTTTTATGCACACTGAGAGCATCTGCATCAAAGACAAATTCCTTGTGTGTCCAATCACACTTGGTCAATAAAGAATTCTATTCTATTCTATTCTATTCTTTATTTCTATTCTATTCCATCCCATCCTGCCCTATCCTATTCTTATGATTCTTGACGAATGTATCTTGTCTTTTTATGCACACTGAGAGCATCTGCATCAAAGACAAATTCCTTGTGTGTCCAATCACACTTGGTCAATAAAGAATTCTATTCTATTCTATTCTATTCTATGGTGAGGTGAACATAAATACAAACAAAATTTAAGAGGGGAGAGGAAGGGAAGGGAAGGAAAAGAAAGATGAAAGAAGAATGGAATATGTGAGATTCTCACTTAACATGGCAACATGGTTTTTCAGTTTATAACCATGTAGATTTCCATCTAATGATAGTTTCTAATCCTAGTTAACCAAGGGGGCAACCTGTACAAGTCTTTAAAAGTACAAAAAAGATCTCTTGGTTTTATTTTTAAATTAGAGATCAAACTTTAGAGTGGAAAGCTACAAAAAAAGGAAGCCATGGAATGGATTTAGATGAATCCACATATCTAAATGTGAGATAATTTAAGTCTTCCCACCCCCACTGCATTGCAGCTTAAAAGAACTGAATGCTTTTCAAATGCTAATGTTTTTTTTTATCACGGATAAGATATTACTAAGATTTATTTTTTTGTGGTTTATTACAAAAAACAACAACTTGGATTATTTGCATGCCGAGACTGTAAATGTACTTGGTAAAACAAATAAACAAAAAAAAAAGATTAATACATAGAAGTGCTATACGTTGCTGTTTACAGAACTTTTATTTTTATCTTTCCATATGGCATATTACCCAGAGCCATATTTTAGTAGTGTTTGGGGGCAGAGAATGTCAAAACTGATGAATGAGATTTATTTTTAAGCAACAGCTAGGCAATATAAAGATATTTCTGTAAAGTATAAAGCTGAGGATCTGGATAAAAAAGCTATCCTGTAAGTTTCCCTGAAAATAAGACCTCCCTGGATAATAAGCCCAATCAGGCTTTTGAGCACATGTGCTAAAATAAGCCCTCTCTGAAAATAAGTCCTCTCCAAAAATAAGCCCTCCCTGAAAATATTGCAACACAGCAGCAGCCATGAGGTGACCACACTTGCCATCTCCTGCACCTCAAAAATACTAAGACCTCCTCAAAAATAAGGCCAAGTGCCTTGTCTTATTTTTGGGGGAAATGCGGTATCTCTACCTACCTACCTACCTACCTAGCTACCTACCTACCTACCTACCTACCTACCTNTTCATCATGACAAATAAAAACAATTGCAATAACTTATTATGTTCTCTAATACCACAACAAAAATAAAGGTAAAGGTTCCCCTTGCGCATATGTGTTAGTTGTTCCCGACTCTAGGGGGCGATGCTCATCTCCGTTTCAAAGCCAAAGAGCCAGCACTGTCCAAAGATGTCTCCATGGTCATGTGGCCGGAATTACTAAATGCCAAAGGCACACGGAACACTGTTACCTTCCCAGCAAAGGTGGTCCCTATTTTTCTACTTGCATTTTTACATGCTTTCCAACTGCTAGGTTGGCAGAAGCTGGGACAAGTAACAGGAGCTCGCTCCATTATGCGGCACTAGGAATTTGAACTGTCGAACTGCCAACTTTTCTGATCAACAAGTTCAGTGTCTTAGCCACTGAGCCACCATGTCCCTTTATCTATTTATTTATCTATTTATTTATACTCTTCATATAATCTTATCTCATATTTACACAGATTCTAAAAATCTCATCATTTAACTCTAGTCAAGAAGAATCTATTAACTGTGATAAGAAATAATAATTATATATTGCAACCTTAATCAAATAAACTAGTCTATATTCCTTTCCCTTATTTTTAACACAGTAACATCATTTTCTCTAAAAAAAATACAACAAAGGAACATTCCTTCCCCTATTAACTATAAATGACTCTATACAATCTCATTTGTTCATAGTCAAAAAAAACCATTAAGAGTTACCAGGAACAACAAAATACAATATACATTTTTAACTTTGACCAAATAACCTCACTTTATATTCCTGCACTTTACTTGATTTGTAAGTGCTCTATCACTGGAGGCTTTCAAGATTGGACAACCATTTGTCTGGAATGATGTAAGGTCTCCGGCATTAGGTAGGAAGCTTGACTAGAAGACCTCCAATGTCTTTTCCATACCTATGATTCTATGCATTTCTAAAACTCTGGTTGTTCTCCCAGGCCTTGAGATAGTACAGTTGTGAAGCCTCCTTTAGTTATGCTTGGTTTATTGTTCTTCTCATTGGCTGTTATTTCTTTTTACATGTATCATTTTTCTTTTTATCCGTAAACTGCCTAGAACTGTCAAAGAGTGAGGTGGTATAAACTGGATAAATAAAATAAAATTTTAAAACCCAATATCTATGAAATATTTTGTAAAGCAAGGCCTTGAATACCTTTTTCAGAACTCATCAAAGATCAGATTCTATAAGAGAAATAAATTATAATTTACCTAATGGAGAGCCTTGAATCAATAAGACCTACCTCTGACAGCTGCCTATCTGAATTTTGGAACCTAAACCAAGACAGATACCTATATGAGATTCTGCAAGGATGTAATAACTACTCCATGTTGAGATGAAAAGCAGAAGAAGGAATATCAGTTCTAGTACTGTTCAAATAGGAAAATCTAGATAAATAAAGGAAGTCCATCATGAGGCTATTGGGGCATAGAGTGTTGTTCCAGCTCTAAGGCTGCATTACTACTACTATTAGTCTTCTCATCATTCCTATCCCCCTCTCCTCCCATTTATGACTGCATGACTGTAACTTTGTTGCTTGTATCCTTATGATTTATATTGATATTGTTTCCTGATTGC